TCTTTTTATTGGAGGCGACTCGACCCTGCGCTATCCTCTGCTTTATATCCTTACTACTCCTTCCATCCTGACTTATCTGACTTCCTAGATACCTAAAATAAAAATTTTTTCGTTTTAACACATTAGACTATTATTAATCTTTATTATTATGAGAACTCGAGTGTAACGACGGCATCGTAGGTACCCGATTAATCCTACGGTCCGGTAGGATTAGGAGTGAGCCAAATAAGTTACAGGGAAGGGAAGTTTTGACGTGCAATGAATTTGCCGCTGTAACGTCGTTAAATGCTGAAATTGCGGTGTTGTAATGTGTCTGAGTCATAATTTCCGAATATTAGAGAGCGGGCTCATTAAGATCGCGTAATAAAATATCCATTTCGCACTGTAATACGAAACCATAAATAAAATTTATACGATAATACTACTACCCTTAATTATAAAATTCAAAATAAACAACAAGTGCATTTCAACATTTCTAACATTGAAATGGTTTCACACTGGTAATTATTCGCACTTAAAATTTCTTTAAATAATGAACTGAATTGAAACATTTGTAATTTCCATTTTTATAAGTACCTAATATTAGTACTTTTTGGATTTTTTTTAACCCCCTATATATATATTCACTTAGAACGACTTTTTTTCTATGACGTGATCATTGACTTAAGCAGGATTAAATCCTGATCCCCGATGAAAAGGAAAACTATTTATTTCCTCTCAAATCTCCCACGCACGTCTAGTCATTTCCTGTCATTCCGTAGGATTTCAAGCTCTCAAATCCTTCGAACCCGTTAAGCCTCCTGACGTTTGCGAGCCCTCAACCACCTCCTCCTCACAGTTCGATCGAAACTTACGTAATCTTCGAACGGACTTTCATAAATTTCGGGACCACAAATCAAACGCCACGGCTTATTGCACCTCGATGTCACGTGCAACGACTTACTGATGGTGAATGGTGTCTTTTAATGGGCAAGTAACACTATTCGATATTAAATCAAAATGATCGCAGGATGCCGGACGTTATACTACCACGATATTAAATCTCTCGACTTGCGGCTATTGCAACCATCTGGCGGTTGCAGATGATGCGCTTCGACATATTATTGCAATTCGCGTAATAAATGAATGAATGAATGAATGAATGCACTCGCTAGCAGACGAGCTTGTTATCCTAACTGATATTACAAATTCGAATGCGAGTTTCTTTGTCTGTTTGTTACCATTTTACGCTTTAACTAATCAACCGATCATCGTGAAATTTTCCACAGACATCTGCACGGGTATAGAAAAGGACATAGGGTAACATTTATCCAAAAAATAAATACTGTACCCGAGGAATAGAAAAATTAGTTTTATGTGGTCGTCGATGACCATTTAAAAAGAAATTTTTCGTATTTTATTTTTCTTTTAACGGTTTTGGTAACTTAGGTTAGTTCAGTAACAATGCGAGTAGGTGTATGTTTGCTCGAAATGCTGTAACGTATCGGAAACTATAATCCTTACGGAGATAAGACACTTCCTCGCATTATCGCTAGTGCATTGCAATCCGGTCAACGTTTATTATCCGGTGCTATCTCTCGTATTATTAGAGTACATGGCGGTTCGTTTGGAGGGTGCAACGGGGACGGCTTTTGCCGGATTATGAGCTCTAAATCGCGAAACGACGAGGTTACAGAATTCAAAGGAGCTTAGAGTGCTTTACAGTTAAAATTTTGGGGTCGTGTTCAAAGGAAACCGGCCTGTGTTTAAGGCTATTATTGCCTAGGGAGTCGGAGGGTAACTGCCACATATATGAGAATTTTGATCGAATTTTCTTGCACTCCTTTGTCCCGCATTAAGCTCTAGTCGCTCATAAACAGCGTATGCGGCTTGAATTAAAGCTTCCAAAATGGGAAAATAATGATTTATTTTTCGTCGCAGCGAAATTGCATCAGAACCCTAAAATATGGTAAATTACAAGTCTTGTTCAACAGAGTATCTAACTTTCATAACCAACCTATTAACGAAATAAATCTCCCAACATTTAGAGCTGAAAATGTAATCAAGAAGCAGTAATGTGCTCTGTAATATTAATTTCTGTAGTGGCTGGTATAATATATTTTAACCATATTTTAGAAACATTTACTTCACTACTATATATTATCTTAAAGGAATTCGCGATTCTTCTCCATTCACTGTTCATATAGATGAATAATTCATGGAAAAATAATCGACATCTTCCTAGCCGACGACAACTACCATAAAGTAGAGCATCTTCTGACAAAATTAATTATACTGAGAAATACGTTCATTGTCAAAAATTCGAAAGCATTGTATACCAAATAAAAAAATGAATTAATAAGTTTGATAGCCAATTTCAATGTGGATACAAGTAAATTTAAAATGCCCAACGGATTCTTACAAACCAAGTGTTCAAGATTTATTTTCACTCCATTCTCTTCTGTCAATACCGCTTATATCTTAATTAGGGCTGTCTCTAACTCTCCCTGTTAGATGCAAATGGTAATGATTTTATTTATTCCAATAAAAAACTTCAGAGAAATGCATTTCTATTCATTCGTGAAATAGTCAAACGCAAAAGGATATAGTTGGGTGAAAAACATAAGACAGAACGAAATATATCCTGTTATACGTTGCAGAGAAACTAAACTAAATTCACAAGCTTTCGCCGTAGTTATTGTTATCATCAAAAAGGGTACATTTTAAAATTGAATCTCTTTTAGACCACTTTGCATCGCCGGAAAGAATTGAATGCGCTTCATATATAAATGTGCGACAGAGCAAAGCACCGTAGCAAAGAATAAAGGGCTTTAGATCGAGGTTTTCTAAGACTGCAAGGAATGAAGAATGAATATGGGAAAGCTTTGTTCGATATAACCTCGTAAATAGGATACATTTTCAATTACAGTGAGTTTTCTACCTTCAAATCATGCTGCTATTCAAATATTTGCAGAGCCTCTCAATATACATCGGTATAAGGAAGATTAAAACAGTTCTTAGCAAACAGAGAAGTTCGTGAATATTTAAAACCGTATAGCAACGACAATTTAAAATGCGAGTTTAATGTTTGCATATAGTACAAAATTGTTTTCAACAAGAAAAGTGAATATAAATTTGTATTTCTTTCTTTCTGCATACGTATGCCTACTTATTACGCTTCTGTAGTTTAATCAAAACAGACAGATACAATTAAACGTCCTGTATCAAAAGTGAAAAAAATCCTTCCTTAGATAGCAATTTACTGTTTTAATTGAAGTTGACAATTGCAGTAATAATACTAATATTATTTGTAAGATAATGTTTTTGGTTAATTTAAACTAATCAGTCCAGACTAAACCAACTCATTCTGAAATCAAATTTACGATTAATCAGTAACAATCTACTAAATGTTAATTAGATTGCTATAGTACGCTGAAGTTAAATAAATATACAATTAATTGGTCGAATCTACCTATCAATTTTAACTATCGTAGGTTCATAAATATTAAACTAATGGTATTTGATTTGTGATGTGTATTTAAACAAATAATTCTATTAATTCGTCTGATATTGTTAGGCTTTTCAAAGTACGCGGAACATCGGTTTGATTTCGGAGTAACAACAAATAACTGAATAACTCAGCTTCTTTATTCGACAAATGGAAAGTATTATTACTTCAATTAGTTATGATTATTAATTACTTTGATTAGTGTTTTTACCTTCTTGAGGTTAGAGACCATGCAATGTACAAGGTAGTTATTTGTCCGCATATACCATTAGACAACCCGTAAACTCTAGAGTGACTTTTATTTGAAACAGCATTTTATGACACGCCCAGTTTTTCAAAATTTTGTAGAAAACTGCTAGAGATTTCAATGGTGAATGAAGTAATGCACTCGGATTGTTTTGAGTAAAGAAAAATACTTTGTGTTTGTTTAGTTTTAATTATTGATTAATTTGATGAATGTTTCTTACCGTTTTGGGGTCATAGGTCATTTAATAAACAAGATAGAGATTTTCCGCTTTCACCGTTAGATAGCTCTCGAGTTCTAGGACAACTTTTGTTTGAAAAATTTTTTTCTAAAGTGCCCAGTTTTTCCGTTATTTGAAGCGAAAATCGGAGATATCAACGGTGAGTCAAGCGACGAACCCGAATTCTCTATACTAATAACATTATAAAGAAAGAATGGGTTATCTCCGAAACTACCCATCCGATTTCAAAAATTCTTTCACCAAAATGTAGAAAAGACTTTCAGGGTGGACTTAGGCTATATATTATTCCGTTAAAGTAAAAAGGCTTTTTGTGGACATCAATTGTGTTACCTAAGTCGACGAAGAAACGGTGGTGCAAGTGCGATTCTTACGAACATTGCCTTAACGGCAAGAGACATATAAATACTTTGTATAAAAATGTTGTAGAGCTTAAGAAAACCTATAAGAAGGTCTACGTCGAATTGATAAAAATGCCAAGCGGATGAGGCCTAAACTTTTTAAATTTCTGTTTAGCGTATTCAATTTTTAAAAAAGTACATTTCAAAAAGCTTTTTATGTAAATTATAGTTTACTACTAAAAAATTAATAGTTCCTAAAATTTGGATTAATTTGTCTTGCTAAGTACGTTTCCCTAATAACATGGTTACAAACTAGGTGTTCGCCATTTGAGCATTATCGTCATCCTGTATGCGACAGTTACAAGACTGCTAATCCTGCTTATTACCACTCAGCAGGAGTTTACATAAACCTTCATTAAACTATTTGTAGAATAATTGAAGTTTCTTACCTTACCGCTGTGCACCCATATTCAACCTGAGGCACCTTAAGTATTAATACAATTTGTGAAGTGTACGTAACTATTACAAGAAAATTGAACCAGCGACGACAGCACAGCTACGATATTTTAGCTGTTTACAATGAATTAAAAATAATCAGAACATCATATTGATCTACGTTATCATAAATTAGATCGTTTAATAATTATTTAAAAGTGAACTGTTTACTAAAAAGTCTCTATTTTGTTGCAGATAACGACTTCGTTTGCGATTGTCGCTTAAAATGGATGTACGGTCTTTACAATGAGACGAAAAGCGACAGAGTAAAAGAAGTTCTGAAGGATTTAACATGCTACTTGGAAGATATACAAGAAGAAACGTACGATAATAACGATGACAACTATGTTTTTGACGACAATTATGTGACAGCTTCGATCGAGGGTAAGTCTACTGTCAACTTTTAATTATTTCTTGCAGGCGTACAAGGAAAGCATGAAATTTTATTTACCTGCTACAAATAGTAGTAGTAGCAATGAGTCCTAAGTAAGATAAATCAAATCCATAAGAACTGTTTGACAAGTTTCGTTTATCTTAGTAAAATACCACAAAAACATGAACAAATAAAAAAAATGTCGATGCGTTTAATATCGCATTCTAGCCTGAATTCGTGGAAATAATTCCAAAATAAATAGACGTGTGCAAAGATCTGAACTCCGTGACTTGGATGTTATTTTCACGATTATTTATAATAAAATTTTGATTGTAAATTGTTAGAAAATAAAACAGGATGTTTGCCTTCACAAAATAACGGAAACGTTCTGGTATATTCAAAGAATCGCTACTGAAAACGTCATAAATCGTCGTATCGCATGCTTTAAAGACGTTTTAGACCATCCGTTTTATTCTCATTCCACGCATTGTAAATGCATGTTTCTATTCCCATATATGACGAGNACCACAAAAACATGAACAAATAAAAAAAATGTCGATGCGTTTAATATCGCATTCTAGCCTGAATTCGTGGAAATAATTCCAAAATAAATAGACGTGTGCAAAGATCTGAACTCCGTGACTTGGATGTTATTTTCACGATTATTTATAATAAAATTTTGATTGTAAATTGTTAGAAAATAAAACAGGATGTTTGCCTTCACAAAATAACGGAAACGTTCTGGTATATTCAAAGAATCGTGCTGATATTTTTTACAAAAAACATCGTAAAACAGTTTCAGCAAACGAACAAAATTTAAAAAGGAAATAAAATATTGTCTCAAATAAGTTCAATTCGATGTAAGTGGCTTCCTACGTTTTCCAATTTCATCTGAATGTGATCTGAAATTTCAAGAACAAAAATGAGGCAATTTTTTAAGGAAATCTTTCGTCACTAACTGATACTGCTTTCAGCTAAGGTGTAGAGGCAATATTTTTTTCGATCAGATGGCTTCACAGGGAAAGAAAAATCACTTTATATATAGGAAGAAGTAAAACAGAAAACAAAAATGGAAATAAACAGAGCACATCAGTACAAAAAAACTCCTAGCATATAAATACGTACCTATTAATAAATATTTCGTGGACATAGGATCTTTCATTTGTTGATAGGCTTTGAATGGTTTAATAAGCTCGGATGAAATTTTACAAAACTCTACCTTTTATTAAACTAAATTGAGTGCCTTTACGGTATTTCACGAATCTTTAGCCGTTTTCTACAATTTTTAACAGAAAATTCGGGTTCAAATTATAATTTTTATTATTTTCGCTTACGATGCAACGGGCTAGTGGGATAAATTGTAAATATCCCTTTAATATTTAGGTAAATTTTCCTTGTTCATTTTCTCCTTGTATATGTTCACAGCTAGACCAAATTATTGGACTACTGTCTTTGTTTGTTTTGTTCCAGAACTGCGTGACCCTTTCATTCGCCGTTTACTCCATATACCACCCAACGAATTGCCGTGTCCCCAGAAGATAAAGAACCCCACCGAGATTCCCAGGTATCCCGATAAGACTCCAGCATATGCGGAAATTAACTCAATTGGTCGCTGTTCCACAACATCCCTCCTCCCTCTGTTCATTTATGCCATTGCAACAACAGTTGATCGAATTATCACGTAAATTGATAGGACTGAAGTACAGAGCAAGGGAGAAAGAGGTTAAAGAGAGAAAGAGGTTTGTTTATTTATTTTAATATATTGTAAATAGTTAAAACATTACTTTAAAGTGCACGTTTGTATGTACGTTGATAATGACGATGACTGTTTTTTATTGGTGCGCACGAACGGTTTTTAAATGTGTCCGGATAATTTACTGTGCTTAGATTTAATGGTCGGTGTAAATTACTTTTATCTGATTACGTAAGGAAAATGTGAGCAGTTGGGGAGAAACCACTTTAAACTACGCTGAACAAACTTTTATTACACAAATAAATCGATGTGTTGCAGAATACAATTTAAAATTCAAATTCACGTTTCAAAAAAAAAAAATGTAAGCTTTGGCTGGTAAATTTTGCGTCAATTACAGAACGAATGAAATCGTTTCATCACCTTCAGATGTGTGAAAGAAAGGCTTTTTATAAAGCAAATTTTTTTAACAAATTATTGAAATTTCTGTTTTTTCGTTTTTAACGCCTCATTGCGTGGTTTCTCTCCAGTCCTTTCCAACCCTTTACACGAATTGATGTACATATATCACAATGAAATAAATAATAATTATATTGCAATAAAAAAGTATCTTATGTTAAAATGTGCAATGAGCAACGCAAGAAATGTATTTATTTTTTACTTTAAAACGACTAAGTAAGTATTTAGGATTTATAATAAGTTAGACTAAAACGAGCCAATTCTAAAAGCGTATGCTTCTACAAGCAAAAGAAAGTAATTAAAGGTAAAGAATTATTTTTTTAAATTGTTTCTTCTTTGGAATTTTATTAAAAAGACAAAAATTACAAGTAATTTTACTACAATCGGTTTTCTAGAATAGTAAAGTTGAAATTTATCAATTTGTGATAATAATAAAATGAGTAAGAATGATCTAGGTATAAAACTTTAACTTATTTAATTAATAATGTTGCATATAATAGGAAATTTATTGTCTTTCCTTATTATTTATAGTTTATCTTCTGCAAAGCTATTCTTAAGGGTAACTAATATTACAGATGCGTTCAGATTAAGCGAACGAATTCATTTGTCGTCATCATCTCCATCAAAACTTCACCACTTTGTATATTTGGGAAACGTTTCGTTTTCTTGCCTGCCTTCAATCATATATATTAAAATATTTCGTTCACTAATTTGGAATGTATTCATTTGGTAATTGCAAATAATTTGATCAATATGACATTCATGATGCTCAATGCATACGAACCAAAATTATCGTTCTTTGTTCGCATAATCTAGATGCACTTTAAATTATCACAAATTCTAACAAACACATTTTCACATCTATTGGGAATTTGGGTTTGAATGTTGACTTATTTTTATTACGTACTTAATACAACAAAAAAAATTCAATTAAAAAGGTAGTTTTAGTCAAAATGATAATTGTAAGAATGACAATTGCATTTCATTGATTCTAAATGATATTTTATAATGACATTTCTTAGTAGGTACTGCATTTATGTGTTTTGTTTTATTTCAGAAACGTTATTTACTAACACTTACTGTTCTCTCTAACAGAAATAGCTTTTTGTACAAAAATATTAATGTACCTTCTATCCCTTGTGGTGTTACCAAAAACTAATACAATACCTTTAATGGGCTACTTAATAACTTAATGTTTTTTGTCGCTAATTACATATTTTGTTGCCGTTTTTAACTACGTGCACAACCTTATTTATACGACCAAACGTTCCGAGTTTCAAAAAAAAAAAAGATATATTTTCCGATGTTATTCCATCAACTAAATGTGTAATAGCGAATAGAACCTTGGAATTTTGGGATGCATTTTTCAGGAAAAATAGGGTATTAACGTGTCTATGTAATTTATTACTAATTTGTTTAATTTGTAAACATATTTTCAGAATTGAATCTATTAAATAAATAGTTGTACAACAGTTTTGTTTTATTTACAGTTTATTCCATCAGCTCGCTGAATACTGAACGTGAGGATCTAAAATAAATGTTTTGTCTAAATTTTAGAAAAAACAGTTACATTTTAGTACTGTACATCTTCCCAATCAGCACACCGAAAAGGTAAGCAATCAGGAAAGAGATCAATATTTTTCAAAATTCAAAATTAAAAATTATTACAGGCAGCCCTTACTTACCCTCGCTTTTACTACTACCGATGAAAGGTTTAAAACAAAACGAAAGGAACATTTTTATGTAAATGCATGTTTCTATTCCCATATATGACGAAAATTAATAAAGGAATTTGAATCAATTGGTAAGTGAATAATTACAACAATTATATTTTTTAGAAAACCCTTTGATATCCAAAACTAAAAGTCTGAATTAGTCATTAACCAACGGCTAGATGAACATGTCTACCGTTATTATTTGCAATTTTTTATACAGAACTATTTTTGGTTAATTTGTTTTGTGATGTAATGTCCATCTACGAAGTCAAAAGATTTTTGTAAAACCGCATTTCCAAAACACAGTTATCATATACATATTTAAAATGAATTATTGGATTTTGTTGTCGGGAAAGGATAAAACTAATAAACAATTCGAATATGTTGGGTAAAGGAATATCTTTGCCCCTGGGTAGGGATAATTCGCAGAGGAAATACGAGATACAAAAGGAATTTTAGGGAAATCAGCCCGTATTAAAGCAAGGAAGGGAAAACTGTAAGAGAATATGTCAGGTAGTAGGAAAAGAAATTTTAAACAAATCGATCCCAAATTACACTCGGTTGACAAGGAAACTTTCGTTTAAACTTAAAGGTTAAATTGAATGGCCTAGAAGTTCTTTGTGTACTTTATACGCAAATCTGTTCCATATTCCTTTTTTATCCTGGAGGAAAGTTTGAACGACATGAGTTTTTCAAGACTAAGTATATTTTTATGCTGTGATGCAGCAAAATGCGAAAAAGATTTCTACGACTAACCGACAGTATAAAATCCATACGATGGCCTTAAAATTATCCTTTCCTTATCTCAGAATAATATATTTTACAACAGCGACAATTTATAACAAGAATCTCGAACGTACAATCGTTTGAAAGTAAACTTTAGAAAGATATTATTTTCTTTAAATAATTGTCATTAGGCAATTGATGAACATTACAGCGTATTGGCGGAAAAGAAAAGGTTAGAAGCGTTCGAAATGTGGTGTTATAGGCGGACGATGAGGATATCGTGGGTAGAAAAAGTTACAAATGAAGAGGTATTGGAAAGAGTAGGAGAACCGAGGACTCTATGAAAGTCAATAAAAAATAGGCGAGATAGGTTGATAGGACACCTTCTCAGGCATGAAGGTCTAGTCAGAGACATATTAGAGGCAGAAACGGGAGTTAGGAGGGGTAGAGGTAGACCTAGATTAGATTACTGTTCGCAAATAGTTAAGGATGTGGGCTGTTCTAGTTTTAGGGAAATGCGAAGTTTAGCTCAGGATAGGAAAGAGTGGA